TCATCATCTGTCAATTACCATTTAGCCCCTGAAAGCTGTCTCTATCAAATTGGATAGGTTTTATAGCATATTTTAACATTCTCAAATCTTACCTCTTCACCTAAGAAGTTAAAGGAATTTACTTAAAATTTTACATATAATATTTAAAAATCAATTAAACTCTATCAAAATTCATGAATTTATAAATCCATCAAAATACCTCAAAATTCTCTTCACTAGCCACAATAGGCAAATTTCAATAGGGGTGGGTAAATGAGGGTTATACCTGCGGGCTAGGACAAGTTCGGGACTGGTCCATAATTAGTAGAGAAGAAACGGGGTTGGGTGGGCCCAAGGTATTTACGACGCATGGCCAATCCAAAATTTTAGTATCACGAGATTTTCATACCATCCCGTTTATTACATATAATTAATGAATCTAATTCAATATCAGTAAATCTCCAGCATTGGATTGGATTTTACTTTTCACTTGTTCAATCTGCCCACTCCCCACTCCCCACTTTATCATTTCTTTCTCCTGGCTAGACCTGGCATTCAAATCGTGTTTTCTATGTTTGTGTCACTTTCACGCCATAACGAAGATTTTAACGGGTTTTGTCATGTAATACCTGTTAAAATGAACAGATAATATGATCCGAACCGAACTCGGCCCATTAATATTAATGGTAATATGACTTGACCCGTCACCTGTTAAAGAAAATACATTTTAATCCAATAAATAATCAAATGAAAAACATAATACTAAATTAGTATATATGTACCACATTGTCACACAAATATTACTTCAAAACATAATAACGCATTTGTATTTCAATTATTACATACCCCAAAATAAGAGGCCTATGAAAAAAAATTAGTACATTACAAAATATCAAACGTTGAAGGATATGTAAGGTAAAGGGAGTTGGTTTAAAGGTTATGGAACCTTGCACGTTTTTCGACAATAAAACCCTTTAATTTTCATTAATTACTAAAAGAAATGGTATTAGAATTCTGACTTGATATATTGTCTGCAAAAGTTATATTGATGATGTTTTCAGTAAGACTTTCCACTTTCCACATTAGCACTCTCTTCCACATAAACTAAGCATAGAAAAACCAAACATTGCAAACCATTCAAAATATGAATACCAAAAATAATTATGAAAAGAAATAAAACGATAATATTGTATTATATAAAAGATACATAACCTCCTCCCCTAAAAATACTACTCATGAGGGTTTGTTGGGTTTTAAAAATTCAAACACGATGTACCCATCCACAAAGCGTAGAGAATGGGAGCACGTGTATTTGCATATTTTTTTTCACTTTTTTTGCACTTGTATATTAGTTATTACAATGTTTTAATGTCTTTGGTAATTTTTAATTACTTTGGTATTTTTATTTTTAATGTGTTTTCCAATATTTTAATCTCACTTTTAAGAGGATAAAACATTTATGATATGATTGTATGAGAGTAAAAACTTTGTTAGGTCATTAACTCTAAAATTGAAAGTTTGAATTTCTACCTCTATTAATACTATACTAGTTGATATGGATTTTGGACAATATGTCAAGTAAAATTTATCCCAGTAATAATAATAAGAAACTCTCATAATAAAAATAAATAAATAAATAAAACTTACAATTTAAGTTATATAGAATAATAAAACAATAATACATATTTAATATACAATATGTACACTATGGCTATTGTATTTTAAAATAAGTTTTTAAGTAGTTTACCATTAAAATCATCAAAATAATTATTTACGGATCGAAACAAGTTGCCACGTGTAAACTCATTAAGAACCCGTTATTAATAGATTCTTAACAGGTGACTCGATAACGACCCGATTAATTATCGTGCTGATCCAAAACCCATTATTTTCGTGTCATGTTAATGGGTCGTATAAGAAATTGCCAAGTTTACTCCCAGCTACCATCCCTACATGACTAGACTCCCTCCGTGAGTGTGATTGAGTCTCTCAACCTCGATTGTGTCAACATTACAGCAGCTAGCTATCATCTTCTATCTCTCGCCTGGTCCTCCCAATTGCAAGTTATGACCACCACCACCCCATCCCTGCCATCGAGAAATTCACCATCATCCTGCAAATCCCTAGGTGTATTTGAATTGCGTGGGTTTCTGATTCAGAAATTTAGGGTTTTTGCTCAAATTTGGGCTGCTTCAATTTATGGTTTTTGAATTAGGGTTTTTATTCAATTTTGGGGCTGCTTCAAATTAGGGTTTTTGTTTGAATTGAGATTTTTTGTATTGTCTATTGTAGACTTGATGAACAAGGACTACAACACTGAGTCACCGTGCAAGGGATCTTGTTGTCTTGAACATAGTTTTTATTTTGTAAAGGTGAAATTTGAAGTTTTTGGTTAAAAAATTCTATTTTGGGTGTACAATAGAATTGCATGTTTGGTTTGTGATTGAAGTTTTGAGAGTTGGGTTCCTTTTGGATTTGGAAATTGAGGTTCTATTTTTGGGGTGTTTTGATATCTACAAATTCAAATTGCTCTGTTTTTTTTTTTTGTTTGGTAGCTTTTCCCATAGAATCTTATTATTTTTGTCGGTAGAATTTTTAGGGTTCTGTTTCTGTATCGAAAGAAGATGCATGTTGGAAATGCGTGTTGAAGATGCGTGTCGGCAATATTTACAATTACAAAGGAGATGATGCAGATATACCTATTCAAATAGGGAAATTTTATTTAAACTCATCTAACTTCTTTCTACATCCAATTTAAATTTTAAATATTAATTGTCTATTTTACCCTATTGCATAATTACTATTAAGTACAAAATGAAATTAATAATAAAAATCAAATTTATCAATAGACCCACATACTATAACTAAACCCTAGCATCACTCTTTGTTTATCTTGCGTTCATTCCGACTAAAACCCTAATAGCTCTGATAGAGAAAAACAAGCTTTTCTATTGATGGATGGTGATTTTGAAGTTTTTAATCCTCCAACTAAGGTATGACTCAATTTATGGATATTTTGTTTGTTTCCTTCTTATTTGGATTAAATTTCATACTTTTTATATTATATTGTATTTGTTTCTCTTTGTCGTCTGTATGCGCCCCAAAACACCAATGCAAAGACTTTTGATTAGTAATGCAAAGACATAAAACTTGATTATTGGTGCAAATAAAGATTGCTTAACCTTAACCACGAACTAGCGGATGGCATGTCTTGCACCTTTTTTATTCGAAATAGCTCCAATTTGTTTATTTGTTTATTAACATAGCAGCAAAACACCCAGCCTTATATCACTTCAAAGTTTCTTAAAAAGTACATGAAAATGCTCAATTTAAAAAGGACTGAACTGGAGCTTGCATAACATTCTCTTGGCAAATTCAAGTCTATGGAATGATCTCTTGGATCCCAAGTCTATGGATGGGTTGTGGTAGCAGAAAAAAAAAAAAAAAAAACAACCATGGAAATGCTAGTCCTATACGACAGATGCAATTATAGGTGGTAAAGGACGCCTCTTTGAAAAAAGGAAAAAAACATTCAATTAGGGATGTTATTTTATAAAGAGAATGTGTGTAAAAATAATTTTACATTTTAAATTGGATTTGAGAAGGTAGTTTAGGTAATATATTTGGGTTTAAAGAGATATTAATTATTTAATAAAAAACAATATGGGTGAAGAGAGTAAGTTGGGTGTTAAAAGAGGTTAGATGGGTTCAAATAAAATTTCTCATTCAAATAATATGGTCTAACAATAAAAGTGTAATTGGACCCATGAAACCGGTCCGTTTCAAATGAACTGGGTTAGGTTTCCAAAGTTCAAAATCCTTATAGTCAATTTGGCCCATTCTATTGTATTTTAAAATGGGTTTGGGCTTGGCCTGTTCCCACCCCTAAATTTCAGAATTTTCTTTTTACAAATTCCGAATGCCTTTATCTCTATCTTTGTTCCTCTCTCTCTCCCTCTCCTCTCTCTCTCTGTCTCGCTCTACCTCTCTCTCTCCCACTCTATCTCCTCTACCTCTCAATTCAAACTTGTTCATCTCCATCTCCTATATTTTTCCATCTCCATCTCCATCTCCTCCCCCTTTTTCTTACCCTCTCTATCCAATGGGCGCGGTAACTTTTACCCTCTCTCTTTTGTAAGTACAAATTATGTACGCAGATGATGGTTTACCGTAGTAACGAAAACCAATTATGCCTATGCACCTTGATGCGAGTTAAATTAAATTTGTTTTATATATCTCTACCATAATAAAGTAAGATCCCCACTTTGCAATCACAAGGTTTCATTAAATTAAAAATTATTGTGGGTGGGCAATACGATCGTGCTTTTTCTTTTGGGGAAATTACATTTTACTTCCTCGTATTTGGATGCAATTACAACCTCATACTACATTTTAAAGCATTTCAATTTCATACATTTATTATCATTTCAATGCAATTTTATACATCCATTAATCAAGTTATCCATTTAACCGTTAAGTGATAACGTGACAATATCAAACCCATTTATTTTGATGACGTAGCAAATAAAAATAACTAAATATTAAAAAAATACAGTTCGAGAAAAAAATTGAATTAAAACAAAGTGGGCCCCACCCACCTTCTCTAAACCCTATTTTATTTTAATCATCTCCTTAGTTCATCACACCATTGTTTAACTTCCGCCTCTTCCCCGTCCCTGCATATTGTCACCGCCCTCGTCCAGTTTAATGTCTCAAATTTATTTATTTTTTTCCTACTCATATTTTACAATTACCACATCATCACTTAACGGCTAATTTAACAAATTTTTTAGCAGAGGTATGAAATTGAACTGAAATAAAAGTAAATGTATCATGTTTTAAAGATGTTGTATAAAGTTATAAGTGATGCCAAATTTGAGAGGGTAAATTGTAATTCACTTTTTTGTTTTTCGGCTACAATTCGAATTATTGGGCCTAGAGGTTGTCAGTGAAGACGAGCTAATCCAATTACATAGGTCCGGCCCACATACCCAACCAACTACTTCCTCTCAGTTGAGATCACCACCAGTCACACACACCTCATCACCGGAGCAAGAAAGCCTTATTCTTCGCCATGGCATTGGCCTCGTGCTCCAGTACCTTTCGCTGCAACCACGCAGCGGCAGCGGCACCGTGGTCACATCCCAGAACTAGACCCAGAAGCTTCCGGGGGCGGAGGAGCTCCATTATCAAAGCAGCCGTCACCACCGATGCCAAGCAAAACCTGAAGACCCCATTGCAGTACAGGAAGCTCGGGGACTCGGACCTTGTAATTAGCGAAATCACTCTCGGAACCATGACATTCGGCGAGCAAAACACAGAGAAAGAAGCTCATGAGATTCTCAGCTACGCATTTGAAAATGGGATTAACGCATTGGACACTGCCGAGGCTGTGAGTGCTTGTGAATTGCTTGATTAATGGCTTCAATTGTGCTTTGTTTCGTTTCATTTCGTTTTATCTCGGTTTTGATTAAGGTTTAAATCTTTGCTGTTGCAGTACCCAATTCCCATGAAGAAGGAGACACAAGGGAGCACTGATCGCTACATTGGCAGTTGGCTCAAGTCTCAACCCCGCGATAAGGTATTCGGACATGTTATGTTGCGAGATTTGCAGTAAGAATGTTGTGGATGAGGTGCAATTATTATCGCAATCTAATAACATAACATGCTAAATATATTGCAAGAGATAGATTTTGTGTTTCTAACTCAATAATATTTTCCAAATAGGTTGTTTTGGCAACAAAATTAGCTGGCTATTCAGAGAGGTCAAGTCATTTGCGTGACAATGCCACGGTTTTGCGGGTGGATGCAGCAAACATTAGAGAAAGTGTAGAGAAAAGCCTAAAGCGCCTTGGGACAGATTACATTGATTTAATACAAATTCATTGGTAAGTTTATCGACCAAATTCCACACGTTATACAAGCTTTAACATGCTACATTCTCAAATGATTTTGTGATTGTAATTAGTATTACAGGAGATGGACCTTCACGCTCTAATTGCAAAATTGTTCTTTTCTTGACCCTTTTGTTGTATCACAGAACGACTCTTCAACTTAGTTTAGGACTGGGAGAACTGTTTAGTCTGTCTTGTATTAGACATTTCAGCTTCTTGTAACTCTTACCGTTTTGTATGGATGAACTGAAGATCACTTTTTTCTGTAAGAAGTAGAACCTTTTCACATTTTTTATTTACTTTTCGTGTCACCTTCTCCTAATTCAGCAATGAAGCCAACCATTCTGCTTGAGAACCTTTTTGATGATAATTGGAAGGTGGTGATGCGTATTAGCACTTTGCTCATCATTGGATATGCTTGTCCATTTTGTGTGTTAAATTCACAAGTAACTTGTAGTAAATAAATAAGTTGAATGATTACATTGGAAACTCATTAATTAACCTAGTTTGGGAGTGCAAGAAGTGATGATAATAAAAAGAGAACAACATGAAAAATCTATTTTCTCCGTTCGTTTTGTCTGAAATCCGTCCAAGAGTATTCACATTTTAGAAATCAAATATTAGCTGAAATAATTACTATTTGTAGAAATTAGAACCACTTAAATACAGGGTAAAGACGAATCAAGCTAAACCAAGAACACATATTTAATGTGTTGGAATGCCACATTAACATGTTTTCCTTCCCTTTTCAGAAGAGAATCTGGATCTTAAGTAGGTTAATGTGGTGGCTCTCGTAAAATAAAATAATTTATTTTATGCAGGCCAGATCGCTATGTGCCATTATTTGGTGGGTATTCATATGAATTTTCAAAATGGAGGCCAAGTGTACCATTCGTGGAGCAACTGAAGGCTTTTCAAGAACTCATTGACGAAGGAAAGGTAACATAACAATTCAAACCAATGAAAGTTTTGACTTTCAGGCTCAATATTAAAGCACTTGGCATGAGAAGTGGAAGTTAGATACAAATTATTAAATTTTCCAAGACCTGTTATAATGTGGATTGGAAAAATAGTATCATAGTGTTCGTGAGTTTGTTTGTAAGTGAATCACTAGCCGCAACTGCATCGATTTAGATGAAACATATTGTTGTCATATGAATTGGTATAATTGTAACTGGAGGAAGAGTGAATCTTTGATTCTTGAATATATAAGTTCTTAGATGATTAATGAGTGTTGTTAAATAAATGGAGTGTCACCTATTCTGTATAGCTTGAAATTCTAAGATTTTAAATTTACATGATATATAATCCTTTTGAACTTTATAGGTACGCTACATTGGTGTTTCTAATGAGACTTCATATGGAGTGATGGAATTTGTACATGCAGCTAAAGTTGAAGGGCTACCAAAGATAGTCAGTATCCAAAACAATTACAGTCTTCTAGTTAGAACTCATTTTGAAAGTAAGTCACATACCGTGAGGAGTGAAATATTACTTGACAACTAAAGTTTCTGTTGATATTTCTCTTTAGATGGTTATTCTTGTACCAACTGTTTGATAGGTTATCTATCATGTGAATATGCTAGTTGATATATCAGATTATGTTCTGAGATAAGTTTTATCTAAAGTGGTAGGGGAAATGTCTCCATTTTCTTTGATTACTAGTTACAAGCTGATCCATGAGCCACACTTGAGCAATATGATTAAGTTAGATGAATGCCTGCTGTCAGCTTGTTTTCATTTCTTTAACTAATCTTTGATAACTTGTTGACATTACACGACTTGACTTGTTTGAGTGTTAATTATATTTGCTTGACTGATAGCTGCTCATTTGATTGATGTCGACCTGGTTGGGCTGTCTATCCAGATTCCAACCTGTTTCTTTAATTGTCGGCACCTTTGTAGTGTGTGTTGAGAATTTTTAGTGTTTATGTTCTCCCTTCTAGTTTCCCATGTTATTCTCTTAATCCAATGAGTTTCTAGTTCTTTTGTTGATTCTTTGCAGTTGACCTTGTTGAAGTCTGCCACCCAAAAAATTACAACATTGGCTTGCTGGCTTATTCTCCACTGGCGGGTGGATCACTGAGTGGGAAGTACATAGATAGCACTTCCGAAGCTTCTAAAAAAGGGAGGCTAAACCTTTTCCCCGGCTACATGGAAAGATATAACAAGTCTTCTGCTAGGGTATGTTAATATCTTGCATGTCGTAGAGTGTAGATCATGTAAAACATGGCTAAATCCAAATAACATGCATATTATATAGTCATTTTATAATCGTAGAAACAGATGAACTCCTTTGATGTGGCGATTTATCATCACGGTGTTACGTTGTAATTTTGTTGGGGAACAGCAGATTGTTTACAGGGTCTTTTCGTCACTTGGGAAGCAACTTGTTTATTGTTTGAGAAACATTTTCGAACTGCTATACGTTCACCAAATATTGATAAAATTTGCATTTTCTGCAATTAAGGGCCTAGAAGTTAGGACTTAAGAGTGCTAACTAGCAGGCTTAGCACCATCTTTTAACCAAGTTTTAAAGCAAGGTTGAAAAGTGTTTGGTTACCACCCACAACCGCGCAGATTGTTTTGCACGTGATTAAAAACCTTGGCTGATCTTCGGAGTATTTCCGAGTATGAAATTAACTTTGGACACCTGGATCTTTTGGACAGAGGCTGTTTTCCGCTCTTGATGAGTTACCTTATGTTTTGAATATGAATTGCTGAGGATAATTTCATTACTGCTGGTTGGTTGTCTGCCTAATTATTACTTGTTTCTGTTTTTAGGAAGCAACAATAAAGTACATCGAGCTCGGCAAGAAGTACGGGCTAACTCCAGTTCAGCTTGCACTTGGATTTGTACGGGACCGTCCATTTGTGACAAGTTCAATCGTTGGTGCAACTTCCGTCACCCAACTGAAGGAAGATATTGATGCTTTTCTGTTGACTGAGAGGCCTTTACCGCAAGAAGTGATGGCTGATATTGAAGAGATTTTCAAGAGATACAAAGACCCTACCATTTGAAAAAGTGGCCTTTGGAAGTGTAATTATTACTTGTCTTGCAACATCAGCTTAAGATAATGATCGAACGTCGACGATATCCCTTGTTGGCGTGGGCAATTCCGATTTTGCGGTGACCAAAAACCATGAGAGAAGGAAGCCTGAACTTCCCCTTTGGTGTCTTTATGTATCCCTGTAGTTTTTCTTGTGTATTTTCCTCCAATGTTTCTGTCCTTGGATTGAACCTTGTATATTTTCCTCCAAATGAGAGCCTGGGTCGCATATGTCTGAGTTATAGATAGAAAGTTACGAGATTGTCAATTTTGATGTGCGAATTTCAGATTCGTGTGGTTGCATCATGTTCATATCCTTAACTCCAATGTTTTGCTCCCTGTTTTCTGTTGTCTGGCACGAATTTCGTGATTTCTGGAACAAGAGTCCTCGACTTCTAATCCGTCCAAGAAGAGCGTCCTTCGAGTTGTTGGCAAAGGATTCCGACCGATGATAGTCGTGCACCTTCAAGAGTCTCTTCACATTATTCTTCCAAAGCATCGTCGCCAAATCCATGTTGCAGTGAATTATGCCTTCCTCCATCAGCCCCTGTTTATTCTTCACTTTCCGTATCAAGCCACGTGGCATACTCGGGTTGAGTGTAGCATTTTCTTACAACTATATTTTTGAAAAGTAGTTTAACTCGTTGGTGGGACGTGGAGGAAGAGAAAGAGGCGCGCCAATATCTCGCCTTCTTTTCTTTTGACCTGCAAACCATCCTAAACAGGTGAGATCGCTTACTGCCCTCTCATTTCCCACTCCTCTCTCTCTCTCTCTCTCTCTCTCTCTCTCTCTCTTATTGATCTGCGTTGTCTTCAGGGTCAATCTGCAAGACCCAATTCGCCAGAGCGCTCAGAAACTCGATATTCACATCTTTTGCAGAATTTTCCGGTGAATATATGAGGGTTAATTGATTTCCGTGAGATTTCGTCAGGAGGGCCGCTTTGTAATTGGAGAAGCTATTGATTTTCGACAAGTTGGTGACTGATTGAGGCTCCCAAGTTTTTTGTTTTGGGAATGTATATGGTTCTTGTTTAGAAGGATACTAGGAATTTTGATGAGAGGCCAAAGTGGGAGAAAGCATATGCATCTATGAAGACTGGTGAAGGGAAGTCGCCGATGCAGTTGTCCGTTGAGCTTGCTTCTTCTTCGGCGTTTAATTCCTTACGCAAGTTTCAGATGGAATGGCAGATCCTGCTAGCTATGGGAATCATGAGCGTGATATTGAACAAGTCAGTTTCCCATCACTGCCCTCTTTTCTTTTCCTTTAGATTATTTGGTGTTTGGTTTTGTTTACCTAGAAAACAAAGAGACCTCGTACATTTTCCGGTTTGCATACATTTTTCTGTTTTACTCACCCTCTTACGTTTTCTTTCCGAAAACACGGTAATTGAATGAAATCTTGGTCAGAGTGTTATTTTTGACGATACGGTTATACTGTATTAGGTAGATCAGCGCGTATGTATATTGAAATTGCTACAAAACCAATTCTAATGAGACAAAGAATAATGTAAATGCTAGTATTTTGCTAAGTTTTCAACTAATGAAGGATGACATAGAGGAAAAAGAGACTCGAATTGTGACGTCAAACTAAGAATTTAATGGACTGCACACACGAAAAGGAGAGGAGGAGGATGAAACTAGCATCTATATGTATGAATATTTCGATTAAAAAGCCCTTTTCTCATACACTGACCATCTTACTCCTTTGAAGCTACCTGCATCACTCGACAATTTGCTTTTCGATTCAAGAAGGGAATTGATGAAAACCCAATATCTTTGTACAAAATTTAATTTCTAGCAGTGAAAATGTTGCCTTTTCTTCAGACTACACCCTTTCACACTATCATTTTGATATGGTTATATATATATATATATATATATTCAAGATTTTGATCTGTGTGTGCTTTGGCAGTACTTTTCGCCTAATATTCCTCTCTGTTTCTCATGAAGGCACTCACTGCATTAAAAAAAGGTTCCCAGTTAATCAAGTATAGCCGGAAAGGGAAGCCAAAACTTTGTTCATTCAGAATTTCTACTGTGAGTAATTCCTTTACTTATCTTAATTCTTAACCACTTGAATGCGTTTTTTATGTTACACCTTCTTCCTATTGCAGCATCTCCACAGTCATTACTACATATCTTAACCGCTTGAATGGCTTCAATTTTCATATTATTAACAGGATGAAACTACACTAATCTGGTATTCACATGGAGAAGAACGAACTCTGAAATTAGCTTCTGTCTCTCGAATTATCCCTGGACAAAGAACGGTGAGTTAAACAAAACTCCCAAGAAATAATTGATATTGTGGTGTTTCAAATTTTTTGATTATGCATCTATAATTTTGAAACTGCTGTTGTGTCCTAGTTGACAGAATAAATACTTTTACTGCTTCTTTATAGGCTGTATTTAGAAGGTATTTGCGCCCAGAAAAGGATTACTTGTCATTTTCTCTTCTATATAACAACGGTGAACGAACACTTGATCTGGTAAGTAAAATCAAGTATTGGTTTCAAGTTTTTCTGTTACGGTCAGTTTAGACGGAAAGTTTAAACTCAGCAATCATCTTTATAGATCTGCAAGGACAAAGCTGAGGCAGAGGTATGGTTTGCTGGCCTTAAGGCACTAATTACTTCAGGACAACAACGTAGTAGACGTACTAAGAGTGATATTTATGATGTAAGTTTCTATTTTAACAAAACGCATTTATAACTGCTTATATTTGTACTTGTTTTTATGGTTCCTAGTTCTTTCTTATTGTTCGAAAGGTTAATTTTGTAATGAGTATAATAAATTAGTTGATATGAGTTTTTGCCCTCAAAAAGGGCTGAATATTTCTTGTGAAATTACCTGCAGATGGTGAGAAAATATCTGCCACAAAATTGCATGACAAGCATTTTATATTTAATTGTTTGTCATTTAGTCTGCTGTTTACTAAATTATGAACATTTATCCGCATGAAATAAAAAAGGAAACTTTTACGCAATATGTATTAGAGGATACAGGTTTGTGCCTCTCAAGCCTTTAAAAAAAATACGGAAAACTATCCAGGAAGTAGAGTAGTATGGGATGTCTAGCAGATGAAACTTAGCCCTCACCATATTCAGGAACATTAATTTTTCTTGGGATAAGATTTGACCAGCACTTATATTGACAAAGTAAATGCAGCGCAATTGTCTGGATCCACTCAGAATTGTTCTGCATTAATATGTTTTCAGAAGATTCAATGTAGTTGCTTGCTTTACTTTCAGTTGCAAGACTGTGCTGAATCTGTTAATGGTCGTCCTTTTGGTGCGGCCTTAGAATTCACTTCGAGCATTGCCCGTGGTAGGGGATCCGTTGATTCTCGTGAATCAGTGAATTTTTCAGGCTCAGATGTGGGTTCAGAACGTGCAAATATGCAACTAAGAACAAGTGCAGGAGATGGTGTTCGAATTAGTGTTTCAAGCACTCCTAGCTGTTCAAGTGGAGGGTCAGGACCTGATGACATTGAATCACTAGGAGATGTTTATGTTTGGGGAGAGATCTGGTCTGATGGAAATGGACCTGATGGGTTCACAAATTCAATCCCTACAAAAACCGATGTGCTGATTCCAAAGCCCTTGGAGTCGAATGTTGTTCTTGATGTTCAGCAGATAGCTTGTGGTGTGCGACATGTTGCTCTTGTAACAAGGCAAGGGGAGGTTTTTACCTGGGGAGAGGAATCTGGGGGAAGACTTGGTCATGGAATTGATAGAGACTTTAGTCGTCCTCGCCTTGTTGAGTTCCTTGCAATTAATAACATTGAATTTGTTGCATGTGGTGAGTACCACACATGTGCCGTATCTACGTCAGGTGATTTGTTTACGTGGGGTGATGGTACACATAATGCTGGACTTCTTGGTCTTGGAACAGATGTTAGCCACTGGATACCTAAAAGGGTTACCGGTCCTTTAGAAGGACTTCAGGTTCTATCTGTTGCGTGTGGCACGTGGCATTCAGCTTTGGCAACTTCAAATGGAAAGCTGTTCACGTTTGGAGATGGAGCGTTTGGTGTTTTGGGCCATGGAGATCGAGAGAGTGTTCCGTATCCAAGGGATGTACAGTTGTTGAATGGGCTAAAGACGATAAAAGTAGCATGCGGAGTTTGGCATACTGCAGCAATTGTAGAGGTTATGGGCCAGTCTGGTGCAAATGCTTCATCTCGTAAGTTGTTCACCTGGGGTGATGGTGACAAACATCGTTTGGGTCACGGAAGCAAGGAAACTTATCTGCTTCCCACCTGTGTCTCTTCACTTATTGACTATAATTTCCACCAGCTAGCATGTGGACACACTATGACTATTGCCCTCACCACATCAGGTCATGTGTTTACCATGGGCGGAACTGCTTATGGTCAGCTAGGCAATCCAACTTCTGATGGGAAAGTACCTTGCTTAGTACAGGATCGATTGATTGGTGAGTTTGTCGAAGAAATATCTTGTGGGTCATATCATGTTGCTGTCCTGACATCAAGAAGTGAAGTGTTCACTTGGGGAAGAGGGGCTAATGGAAGGCTGGGACACGGGGACACAGAAGACCGGAAAACTCCAACTTTGGTTGAAGCCCTGAAAGATAGGCATGTGAAAAGCATATCGTGTGGCTCAAACTTCACATCTAGTATATGCATCCATAAGTGGGTCTCTGGAGCTGATCAATCAATTTGTTCAGGTTGTCGACAGACATTTGGTTTTACTAGAAAGAGGCATAACTGTTATAACTGTGGATTAGTCCATTGCCATGCTTGTAGTTCCAAAAAAGCACTGAGGGCAGCATTGGCCCCGACTCCTGGAAAACCACACCGTGTATGCGATGCTTGTTATGCAAAACTTAAAGCTGCTGAGGCTGGTAATGCTTCCAATGTTAGTAGGAGATCTACGATCACACGTTCAATGGATAGCAGGGATTTTCTAAATAGGGGAGAGGTGAAATCTTCAAGGATTCTTCTCTCTCCCACTACAGAACCCGTTAAATACCTTGAGATCAAGTCCATGAAGCCTGGGGGTGTCAGATCCGAGTCCCCTTCTATAGTCAGGGCTTCCCAAGTTCCATCCCTTTTACCACTAAAAGATATTCCGTTTCCAAGTTCATTGAGTGCACTTCAAAACGCTTTGAAGCCTGTCATGACAATGCTGCCTCAGCCCAATTCAAGATCTACTTCACCATATTCGAGGAGACCTAGTCCTCCGCGGTCTACAACTCCTATATTCTCTAGGAGTGTTATTGACAGTCTTAAGAGGACAAATGACACTCTGACTCAAGAAGTAGTGAAGTTGCAAAACCAGGTACTATTTTACACCTTTCAAAAATTAACATTTTTGGTTGCGTCATTATATTGGCTTGTGGTATAGAAATGTCAAAACCAAGACACCTTTCTTTTGGTAAACTTTCCTCTCTTTACTTCAGGTTAAAAGTCTGAAGCAGAAGTGTGATGCTCAAGATGTAGAGATACGAAAACTAAATAAGCATGCCAAAGAAGCTGGCTCATTAGCCAATGAACAATACTCTAAATGCAGAGCTGCCAAAGAACTTGTCAAGTCCGTCGCTGAACAGGTTTATAAAACTTACTCAATATTACAATGTCACTCTTTCTAATTGTTCTTTGTGGCATGAACATTTCCGTTGACAGCATAACAATGACCTGGAAAAGAAAATCTACTCTTTTTATGGCCCTGCCATTCAGTTATCGGTGAAATATGCTGATGTTTTGTGTGCTTTCTGTCCTTTCTTTATCTTGCAGATGAGGGGGTGGGAAGACAAGATACCTCCTGAGATTTTTGACAGCGATACTTTCAAAGCATTGCGTACGCAAGCTAAAGATTTTATGAACATGAATATTGGAAGCTCAAGCTCAGAGCTAGGCCAACACTATGCAGCCGATAGAACTTCCTTGGTTGTTGAGTCTTCTAGAATGGAAGACAATAGAGCAGACGACTCTGCAGAGGCTGAACCTCAAAACAGGTCAGAAAACCGCTCGAGGTCACCTGAATCATCAACACTGAGGACAGAAAACAACAGAGCGGAAGACTTTGCAGAGGCTGAACCTCAAAACAGCTCAGAAAACCGCTTGAGGTCGCCTGAATCATCAACGTCGCATAGAGGACAAAAGGAAGTCATTGAACAATTTGAACCGGGCGTTTATGTAACTCTCCTTCAACAACAAAATGGTACTAGGAATTTTAGGCGTGTTAAATTCAGGTAAATATTTGATCTTATAACATTCGGTAATTATATGTTTGTGTTAGACGGCCACTGGACCCTCAAGCTTTTGGGGTTCAGTGGTTGTCTAACACTGTATCAGAGCTCTTGTTGCACGAGGTCCTGAGTTCAAAATTTTCGATCCTCATTCCCCACTGCTTTCTTCATTTTCAAGCTGCACACTGGGATTGCACCTATGTGTTTCTGTCTTCATTCTTAGCCCCTCCACCTGCAGAATGTGGCTGCACGTGAGTGAACGTGTTAGCTAGGTATATATTGTTGACTCATTAACTAACAGCTTAAACTTATGGGGTTCAGTGTCTGTCTAACAAGCTACGATGCCATATTACAACTAATGGATCTCAAAAGTTTAAGCTGTTTGTAAACTGATCAACAATGTATATCAAGCTTACGATCTACATATGTATGCATACTAATTGAAACAAAACTTGTTATAAATTATTATCAGAAAGCCATTTTGTTTTGTGTTTCATTTATTTTCCATATGCTAACTTTGTTTATGATAAGCGTAACACACAACAAAGTCTTGGATCATTTCAATGCAGTTCCCTTCTAGTTTTCTCACACCGGTCTCAAATATTTTCTGCAGCAAACGAAAGTTTAGTTCGGAACAGGCAGAAGAATGGTGGAAAAATAACAAAGATAGGCTGCTTAGGAGATATAGTCAGCCGAGTGCAAGTCCTGCTCCGAGTGCAAGTCCTGCTCCGAGTGTACCACCAACCAGCAGTCCTGTACCGCCGGAGGAAAACAGCGAGGCAGCCGCAGCTTCCCCGACTTAGTTTCATAACTTAGTCTCTTACAGTATGGTATAGAAATTTGGTAAGTAGGATCAAAGGATCTGCTTTAGAATGGCAGTGTATGAATCAGTTAGGTGTAAACTTATCTTTGTTCAGAACAGAACAAAATAGAGCAACATCTTCTTCTTTTTTTCTAATGGAAATATTGAGAGAATTTCTCCTCCTTTGAAAAGAAGAGCTTCAATATAATTATTTCATCCATTTTAATTTGTTTTTCTGTTTTTTACGGTTATCTAATCTTTTCGGGGAAGGGGATGCCAACTTTAGTGGGAGGGGGCGGGCACATGCACATAATCATGATCAACTAGTCTAGCCCACGTACATATATAGTACGTAGTCAGGAGGATCCACTCTTGGACTCGGGTGGTTCTGAGACCACCCAGACATTTGAAGAAGCGCCTTTGAGGATTTTTGCAGACCACCCAACGGTCTGGACATGTGGTGGAAGAGAGAATACCATCATAGTTGTGTAGGTGTTCTACAACAGAAGCTTTGAACCAAGAACCAAGAAGAAAGATCTAATTTCAGACAAAGTGCAACACAAAGAAAATGGCTATAGTGTTCTTGGACCTTGATTACAAAGAAGAATAAAGACTTTCTCTCTCCATTTCCCACATGACCATTTCCCATTTCCCTATTCTTTTTTCTTTTAATTGCTTTCCAATCAGGTTATGTTACCCTAACAATTTAATAACTAAAGGAATGGTGTATTACTCAACTAATATTTTTAGGGAATTGTTATTAATATTCCAAAAATCTCATTCTACTCTCTAAACTTTCTATATTAAGAAAGAAAAAATACACTTGTGAGGAATGTAGAATGAGATTTTTAAAGTACCAATAACACTTCTCTATTTTTATAATATATGTTTAACATCGTTATTTAAAAAAAAAATCCTATAAATTCATACGACATCTTAAAGTGTTTTGTAAAGTACTATGAACTTGTAGTTACTTGCATTTTCATTTCATACCATCAAATTTACTAAAATGCTAAAGCAAAAATTCTAATATTTTCGTATATTATAATTGAATAATAAACCTAATTAAAATAATAAACTCCAAATTCTCAATACAAATATAGTTCTTTTGTAAGTATAAGGTACTTACTTGTATGGTACATAATAAGTTTATTTAAATCCGCTTAGTCCACCTATGCCTTTGGTTAGACCCCATCTAGGCACATAGGCGCCCCAGCTCGCTGCTGGAGAACCGCCTAACGTCTCTTGATTAGGATCAACCGATGTTAGAATCTTAGATCTGCCACTGATAGTAGTTGATATTACTAAAAATATGTGTTTAGTCTCTGAAATTCAAATTCTTTACATAAAACTCCTTTTTTTTTTTTTTCCTTACATTAGTAAAACTCATTGACTAGGCTCCGAATAAGCAAAATAATTAATTATGTTTTACTTCACACATTTTGCAATTTTTGGGTATCTAAAATACCCTTAATTACATTTTTGACATATACAATTAATTATATGCAGATTGAAAAAGAAAGGGATTTATGTTATAATTTAGGGTAAATTACACTTTACCACCTTAGGTTTGAAGTCTATTGCAATCTTCATACAATATCTTCAAAACATTTTACTTTCATATCTCAAGTACTATCTTATTTCAATATAATACATCCGTTACATTTTCCATCCATTAATCCGTTAAGAGCTGACGTGGCTGCCACATTTGTGTCACATGGCTGCCAACTTTATACCATGTGGCAAAAAAATAATTTTTTATACATTAAAATATTATAATACTTTACCCTATTAAAAAAAATATATTGAAAACCTAAAATCCTTACTTCCCCCGCAAGTCGCAACGCCCCACCCCTAGAGACCCATTTCCCAGAAACCCTTTAGCTCATTTATTTCCCTCTTCGATTCTTTGAACTTGTTCTCTTGGTTTGTTCCGATTCCCATATCAAAACCCATCTTTTTTTTCCTCAATTTATTCTGATTCTCACATCAAAATCCTACCTATTTTTTGCTCTGTTCTTGCTCTGTTTTGGCTCGATTTTGGCGAAGAAAACAATGATTTCTTCAGAAATTAAGACATGGGTTTTTCGAAGAAGTCCCATGTGGTGGACGGAGGCATGGAATTCAAAGGCAAGAAGTGGGTAATCGCCGGAATCTCGGTACGAACTTGCTTAAAGCTAGTAAAGAGAGTGGAAGAGAGGGAGGTGAAGAGAGTGAGGGTGGGGTGAGGGGTTGCGGGGGAGGTGAGGGTGGGGTAGGATGGGGTGGGTTTTTGGATGGAAGGGGAGGTGAAGAGAGTGGAGGAGAGAGAGATGGTCAACGGAATGGGATTTTGGGTTTTCAATGTTTTTTTTTAATAGGGTAAATTATTATAATATTTTAACATATAAATTTTTTTTAAGCCACATGACACAAATTTGGCAGCCACGTGGCACAAATGTGATAGCCACGTTAGCTCTTAACAGATCAATAGATGGAAAATGTAACAGATGTATTATATTGAAATAAAATAGTACTTGAGGTATGAAAGTGAAATGTTTTGAAGATGTTGTATGAGGTTGCAATAAACCTCAAACCTCAAACTTGAGGTGGTAAAATGTAATTTACCCTATAATTTATTATTTGATTAGTTTTTTTTTCCTCAAAAATGGTTTTCTTTTTATTATTTAAGTAGCGCGCGAGAGCAATCCCAGGATGGGTGATACATTGGGAAGTTCTCGTGTGAGTTCCCAGAAACAAAACCATGAGGGTATGGTAGGGGCCCAAAGCGAAGAATATCGTGCTACAGTGGAGTTGGGCTTAAGTTGTGGTGGGAGCCCGGGCGGGGATGTGACAATTTGGTATCAGAGCCAATCCCTGACTGGAAGTGTGCCGTGAGGACGTCGGGCCCCTAAGAGGGGTGGATTGTAACATCCCACATTGCCCAGGGTGTGGATCATGTAAGCCTTATATGTATATTCCCATCTTTACCAAGCCAGTGAGCTCCCAAAAGGCCTCATGCTAGGTAGAGATAAGAATATACATATAAGGCTTACAGGATCCACACCCTGGGCAATGTGGGATGTTACAAAATATGTTTGGTAAAACAGAAAAAAAAATTGTTTTTTTTTATAAAATTATTGTCAATGAAAGTAGAAAAGTTTACAAAAGCAAAAGCAGGTCTACCATGCTTCTAAAAAAAGTGTTTTTTTTTTTTTTCAAAGCATTATAATCAATGCTCATTTAATGAACTTTTCAAAAGGCAAGTATACCCCACATGTTTTACAAAATTACAATCTTTCCCTACATTATTATCTTTGACAATTATTATATCACATTAAATACTATATTCTTTTTAGTCATTTAACATATTCAAAACAATTTATATAAAAGTTTACCAAACACTAAGTGTGACATCCCACATCACCCAAGGGAGTGATCCTTATATGTATATTCTCATCTCTACCTAGCACGAGGCCTTTTGGGAGCTCACTGACTTCGGGTTCCATGAGAACTCCGAAATTAAGCGAGTAGCGCGTGAGAGCACTCCCATGATGGGTGACCCACTGGGAAGTTCTCGTGTGAGTTCCCATAAACAAAACCGTGAGGGTGTGTTGGGGGCCCAAAGCGGACAATATCGTGCTACGGTGGTGGAATGGACCCGGGAAGTGGTCCCCCCCGGGCCGGTATATGACAATTTGGTATCAGAGCCTAACCCTGGTCGCATGTGTGCCGACGAGGACGTCGGGCCCCTAAAGGGGGTGGATTGTGACATCCCACATCGCCCAAGGGAGTGATCCTTGATGCGAGATTTATACGCACACAAATTAACCCTCTTTTTGTCAATTGTAGTATAAGTATAAGTAGGGATCGTTCTAAACCGGGGATTAGGAGGGATTACTAATCACTTGGAAACTGACTCAAAAATGTAAAACAAACATTAAAACACTAAAACAAATCAAAAGACTCAAAGAATACAAAACACTTATAAACACAAACTAAGACACTTTCTAACTAAATTGGACACTAAAGTAAAGGGGGATTGAGATTTTGACGAAAATAAATTAAATGCACAAATTGTAATTTAAAGGTAGAATTTAAATATGAATGTGATGAAATATGGAATGAATGCTAGCTAAGGGGTTCTTCTCCACACATGTTATACTTGCATACAAGATTGATTCTCAGTTGGTCTTTCGATAAATTATGAAACTCAACACTCCGGATTAATTAGGTCCGCTTAAATTAACCGTCAAGTTTTCCTTAAGTTAATGAATTGGATGGGTTTGCGCAACGCAATTCACAACATTCTCCAAAAGTCCTTTACGTGAACAGCACAATAAAGATACAATCAAAGATCATTAAGTATTATGAAAACTATAAGTGTTGACGAGGCATTCGTTACTATGATGAGCATGAAACTCGTGCCAAGAATTCATTTAACGCGATTGTTTATAAGCAACCTCCACTACTTGTGAATATAAGTTCATAACGATTAGGTGAAAATCACTTATATTCTAGCGTCATATTTATGCATGAAAATTAAGCGCGCATTCTTAATAAACATTCATAAATAAGTTATCAATCAAACGGTTAAACAAATTGAATCCACAACTTATGAAATTCCAACGAAAGTTAATCAATTCATATTGCAAATATAAACATAGTTTTGAATCACCCCCTAGCTAAAGGGGGATTAGTTCCTCATACCTTTGAAATCAAAGAAACACCTAAACATTCCAACAACTCAAAACTTGAATTGTATGAACGTTTAAGCACTCTTCTCTTCCATTCCTTATACGTACAAAACAAAGAGAATTAAAATGAAACTTTGAAATCAAAGAAACACCTAAACATTCCAACAACTCAAACTTGAATTGTATGAACGTTTAGGCACTCTTCTCTTCCTCGTTGTTGTAGCACAAGGTTTAAGGATAGGTTGGTTGGGGGGATGGAAGTGTGGAATGGAGTGGAAATGGAGAAGATGGAGAAGGGGAAGTGTTTGTGTATTACAATGGAAAATGAGATGATTTGGTGAATGGAATGAATGGGTATTTATAGGAAGAGAATGGGTGTGAATGGATGTTTGTTTAAGGTATTTGGTGGATGGGAAAAGGTGTGGATGGTGGGAATTATGGTGGATGGATGGTTTAGTGGATGTAATTTAGGGTTTATTTAGGTGAATGTGGATGCATGGTTTAGTGGATGTAAAGGATAATGGGATGGTGTGGAATTAAAAGCTAAAAAAAATGGGATAATGGGCATTTAAGTGTGAATGGAATGGTGGGATGCACTAATGGAAATTATGGAATGGAATGGTGGGATGCACTAATTAGGAGGAAGAATTAGGGTGAAGGGCTTAATGCATGGATTTGGGCCAATTAGGGTGAAGGGCTTAATGCATGGATTTGGGCCTAAAATGCCCCCCCTTGCATGGCAAGGGAAAGGACTTGGGCTAAAGCCCACGGCAATGGCTCTAAAATGGGCTAAGGTTAGGGTTTAGGTGCGGCATAGGCTTAGGGTCCACAAAGAGTTAGGGTTTAGGTCATCTAAAAGCCCAAAGCCAACAATAGAAACTCACGACAATGGAAACCTCCAAGAATAGAAACTTCCAACTTTAGAAACTTTGGTTACCAATTCCGACTTCCTTGCTCTTCACTTTCATTTCTTCATTTCTTAAGCTCCTTTGACCTTCAACCTCGTTCATTCCTCGTGCTCCATTTGCATACACCACATTCCAGCTCAGTTTTGCTCCAAAAGCTCCCAATTGCATCATCTTGCACACTTTGTCCTTATAATCTGAAAATACACAAAAGTGGCCTTAAACACTAAAACAACTAAGTAAACACAACATAAATGCACGAGAACAAGCTAATTAAGTCGCATGAATATGCTCCTATCAATCCTTATATGTATATTCTCATCTTTACCTAGCACGAGGCATTTTGGGAGTTCACTGGCTTCGGGTTCCATGAGAACTCTGAAGTTAAGCAAGTAGTGCGCGAGAGCACTCCCATGATAGGTGACCCACTAGGAAGTTCTCGTGTGAGTTCTCATAAACAAAACCGTGAGGATGTGTTGGGGGCCCAAAGTGGAGAATATCATGCTATGGTGGTGGAACGGGCCCTAAAAGTGGTCCCCCCTGGGCCGGGATGTGACAATTTGGTATCAGAGCCTAACCCTAATCGCGTGTGTGCCGATGAGGACGTCGGGCCCCTAAGGGGGGTGGATTGTGACATCCCACATCGCCTAAAGGAGTGATCCTTATATGTATATTCTCATTTCTACCTAGCACGAGGCATTTTGGGAGCTCACTAGCTTCGGGTTCCATGGGAACTCCGAAGTTAAGCGAGTGGCGCGCGAGAGCACTCCCATGATGGGTGACCCACAGGGAAGTTTTCGTGTGAGTTCCCAAAAACAAAACCGTGAAGGTGTGCTAGGGGCCCAAAACGGACAATATCGTGCTACAGTAGAGTTGGGCCCGGGAAGTGGTCCCGCCCGGGCCGGTATGTGACATTAAGACACTATTTTTTTTTTTTTTATTAAAAGCACTTTAAAAAAAATTTCTACCAAACACTTAACAACTTTATTTTACAACTGTTTATTCTCATAGCACAGCAGAATCATTTTTTTTTTTTTTTAAATCATAGCAACACCAAACACCAAACTAGCCCTTAATTTACTTATCTATATGTTAGTGTATCTATTTAGAATAAATATATTGTAAAAATAAATTTACCTCCTCATTATAGCTATATACATAAAGAAAATTTTATTTTATTTTTTGAGAAATTTGCACAAATGCCACCTAGACTTTTGTTGGTGTGCGTACTTACCCCTGAACTTTTATTTTTTTTTTATTTACCACCTAGATTTTGCATTAAGTTGCAATGTATCACTTAGTGTTTAAATTTCTATTACTTGATGATGTGGACAAATAAACCTTACATTTTGGCTGACGTGGACCCCAGGTGTGCAATAATGGCAGTAGCTCCTACGCTTGCCCCCTTTAATCTCTCCCGCCAACTTCCCCCCTGGGCATCGCAGGACGGCGGTTGCAACACTCTAATGGGGGAGGTGGGCTGGTTGATGATAGAAAGGTATCATGAGTTTTTTTTAATTTTTATATTAATTTATAATACTTTTAACTAATACATATTTATTTACCAAAGGGCATTGACATTAGCAAAAAAATTGAGCCCTATGTTGTACATGTTAATTAAAATTTCTAAAAGGTAGGTGGTACATTGCAACATAATACAAAGTTTAGGTGGTAAATAATAAAAATTAGAAGTTCAGGTGGTAGATTGGCACACCAACAAAAGTCCAAGCAGTATTTGTGCCAATTCCCCTATTATTTTTTATTTGGTTCATTAGCTATATATATTGCAATAAAAATAATTTACCTATCCCTTGAAAATTAAACAAGATAAATTAATATAGCTAGATATTTATTTTTGTATAAATTAATTTACCTATATATTGTTTGTAAAAATTAATTTACTTATATATTATTTATACAAATTAATTTGTGCTACAATTAATTTGGGACGGAAAAAAATCATACCTACATAAAGTTGTATCAAATATTAATCTCTGGTTAGATTGTCTGGATGTTGTCATACTGTGAATTTAACTGTTTTTATTTTAAGACGTGAGTCAAACTTTTAATCTGATAGTATAAGCATTTGTTTGACAAACGAGCATTACCAATACATTCAAAAAACTAGAATGATCATTTATTGCCTGTAGATAGTTCTTTTTTTTTTCTTGAACTGGTGCCTGTAGATAGCTAGCAGGTTCATCTTGATATTGTATTGTGCTAACAAACAATATTGTTGGTAGTTCAGTGTTGAACTTCTTAATTCACATTTGTTTGCAAAAACTAGTTTAAATTGGTTTTTAGAAATTATGAGTTTGGTGTGGATTCTAGGCACAAAAAAAAAAAAAAAAAAAAAGAAAAAGAAAAAGGGAAGTTTGGTGTGGATGGTTGAGATTAAAGGGTTGAGAGTCATGACTTGGTGTGTGTGGGCAGGTTGAGAGAGTTATGAGTTTTGGTATAGGTGGTTGAGTCTTGGGTTGGGACTTATCAATTTTTGTTTAGGCATTTTTTAATAATTAATTTCAGAAACCATATCCTCTAAATAATTTATTATTTTTATCTTAGGTTAAAAGTCAGCATTTGGAAATTCATGCCACTTGTTGTCCTACGTCCACAAAATTATTATTTTTATTTTGTACAAAATTATTAAATGAAGTGAAATTAAACACAAATGAAATGAAACTATATTCTAAAACGTTTACTTATTTTGTTTATTATTAATTTATTAGATTGCGTGTTCTATTTCACAAGATTTAAATCCAATATCTGTCCATTTCTTCTGTTTATTAGCAATAGCAAATTATTGAAAAAATAGTGTTAAAGTTCATACTCCAGAGAATGCTTATTTCACTTCTATTATATGAGTGGAAAGAATAACCTAACTCTACTTCATATCAAATGACATTTTGATTTCTACCAATTCACTTTTTCATCTTATTGCAATATAATTATTACATCTTTATTATAACACAATGATTTATTCATTACTAGCAGAGAGCACACATTTGTGTGTGAACAATTTCTCTTAATATTACATAATTACTATTTTATCCTTCTTATGTAAATATTGTGTATTAAAAGTAAGGGTAAAATTGGAAAAATAAGTATAAAAAGAGGGGAAAATAGGAATATAATTGTTATTTTGTCAAAATGTACAAAATTACTATTTTACCTTCTTTTTGTCAATAGTATGCATCAAGATTCAAAAGTAAGGGTAAAAAAAGAAAAAAAATGGTAAAAAGTTGACGAGTATGGATACGATATACAAACGACGATCACCTTAAATAATTGCTTCATCCCGTGTTTGTTCGATTTCGTTTAAAGGATGTCGAAAATCTTGTTAGCCAAAATTTTCTCCAGAAAAAAATTTAATAAAATAAAATTTCTTGGTACGCAATAAAAAAAATATCTTCGTTGCTAAGGAATTCAATTAATTTCATCATCCACTTGCGTTCCGTTTTGACCAAGTTTCTTTGAAAGCACAGCCCTCCCCATCCATATTCTATGATTTTTCCGGAAATTTTTTTTAGTTTCTTATATTTTTCCTCCTGCATTTAACACCCTAGCTCCTCAAGTTTTGCTTCAAAACCCACAAAGGGTAATTGCAGTTCTCCCCGGGGATTTCAATGGGACTGCAGCAATCGAAAGATGAGTTGCTCCATCAGCAAGTCAGCTGTGGAAACATCGAAGGGATTAAAGCACTCTGCAGAGACGGTGCAGGCCTGGAGGTAATTAAGGGAGATTAATTTAAGATTTTTGTTTAAATTGTAAGCATAATGTGATTGTTGGTAGTGATAATTTGTTTTGTTTTGTCAATTGGTAGTGATAATTGTAGAATATTTTGGATTTTTGGGGGTTAGATTTGCTGAATTATTGGTTAATTGTGGTGATTTTGGTTGTCAGTGGATTGATAGAGAGGGGAAAACCCCTTTGATTGCGGCCTGTATAAATCCTGGGCTCTATAACCTTGCAAAAACCTTGATTGAACTCGGTGCAAACGTCAACGCCTATCGCCCCGGTACGTTTCCTATCTTAATCATCACGATTTGATAACTTGTCAGTTGGGTTGATCTCATGTTGAAGTTTATGTACTTGGACAGTGAGAAGAAAGAAAGAATAATGAAGATAAAAAATGAAAATTGGTATTTTTGGGTTCATAGATATCGAAGAAATGTACCAATTGGCAGGGTAGAGTTGTCACCAAGGACCAGGAAAGTATTAAAAGAGTGACCTGGCTATAGTTGGTAGCCACACTTGTTGTCTGAAATTTAGGTTTTTGGTCCAACTTCTCTCTACAAGTATTGCCCTTTTATGTGGAGCTTGCGTTGGATCCAAATTTATACTGCAATCGTAATGGAAAAATATCACCATTGATCTAAGTACCACTTTCGTACTGATTTTTTTCCTTTGCAGAAAATGGAACACTACGATTAGATATGCTTCAAGTGTTATTTCTTTCTGATCCCCTCTCTCCTCCCCAGAATTTTGTTGTGTTTTACCATATTTATTTATTAAACTCGTCTTGTAATGTAGTCTTGTTAAAACATGCTATTATAAATGCACGCACCTTGATCTTTGGCTTGCATTAACAATTTCCTTTTTGTTCTTTTCTCAATGCGCTGTAGGTCGTCATGCTGGGACTCCTCTACATCATGCAGCTAAAAAAGGCCTAGAAGATGTTGTTAAATTACTTCTTTCGCATGGAGGTGTGCAACTCTATTATCCATTCATCTGTTTGAAAGTCTTAAAGAATGGAGTATAAAACTTATGATTTTACAATAACAAACACAGTTCTTTTTATGCGTTCTTTATAGCTAATATATAATTTGTTCAAAATTTTCAGCAAATGCTTTAATCATGAATGATGACTGTCAAAGTCCTCTTGACGTTGCTAGGGCGAAAGGGCACACCAATGTTGTCCGCGCAATTGAGGTAATTAGTATGCAATGTCGTTCTGTGCATATTTTTTTACCATCCGGTGTTGCAACTTGTTTTCATCGTCTTCTCTGATAGTTCTTCATTTTTCTCTTTTAGTTTGTCTTCTTAACCCATTTCCCAATGTTTGTAGAGGCATATTTGCTTATTCTCTGGTTGGTTGCGGGAGTTTTATGGTCCTGGATTTCTCGAAGTACTTGCTCCTCAGTTGGTTTCAAGAAAAGTGTGAGTGTTATTTAAAAGTGATGTCATCTGGAAGTATTTCCGTGTAGTTGTTTTGCTTTTGTCTTCAATCATGATCTATGCACCAAGTTGTCAAAGCAATAATATAGATTGATTGGTTTGACCTGTTTTGAAGAAGTTTATATCTCACTTGTTTTAATTATTTATGTATAACTTTAATTAGTGGGATAAGGCTTTGTCGTCGTTGTTGTTCTTGTAACTTTGATCGAGTAATTGTCTGAAATTTTACTTGACATGTGTGCCTACTATTGCATACTTTGCAGTTGGGTTGTTGTTTTGCCATGTAGTTCTCGCAAACCCACCAAGCCTTTCAAGTTGGAGCTTGCCATGTATCCTACCATGCAGGTATTGCTAAATACAGCCTTCTATTCTTAGGTTGATTAGGCTTAATATATGATTTTAAATGATTCTAGATTTAGTTCTTCTACTCATACATTGCATTCAAGTCGCTTTTAATTTAGGCTACATTGAGTGTTTGCTTGCAGATTACATTCGCATGAATTCTTTCCCAAAAAAATAGCACTCTAATAATTCAATAAACAAAATACAATGCCTGCGTGAGTTAAATATGATTCCCATAGCTTTGCATTATATAGTTTGCTAACTTGCCATCAATAATGTTTCCTTTTCTTTTATAGTGCACATTCTTGAACTGCCCATTCTTTTTTGTCATGTAAATGATAAAAAGCATCCCCACTTAGTTGGATACGGCGTTGTTGTTGTTTGTTGTTGTTGTGGATGATAAAAAGCATCAATTTAATTTCCAAGCTCAGGCCTTTTTTAGGAATGGAGATATATTAGATTATAGTGCTACCACCTCTTTATTGTCTTCTTACTCATTTAATATTTTATGCATTTGGAACACTCTGACCAAATTACAAACTGAAATAAATAAATAACCTCCATTAATCTTTGCTTGTGTCAAAACTCAACAAATAACGATGTTATTTCCCATGGGAGTTGGTGGGTGGGTAGCCTTAACAAACCTTTTTGATATGGATCTCCTTTACCCTTCTTTGCCTATTGTAGAATTCTTCCTTCCATCAAATAGCTCAATTGGAAATTGTGAGCCAATGTTTCTTTATTTGCGTAAACTTGAACACAATATTAAATTTGAACCCTAGTCTACCAGTTGGGTATAGCACTCCTAGTCAGGAAAAATAGTGACTGAAATACTAAATAAAATAATAAGGTCAATATGTTAAGTACACCCAGGTACTGAACTACACTTTCAGAGAAAACAAACTAGTACAGGTGGTTTCTTCTCATTAGTTAATCCCTAACTCAAAACCTGTGTCCACCCGAGTACCCCCTAGTATACTAGGTAACTCAAGTTCCAGTGAAGTACAGTCCTTTTCAACTCTTACTGCTCAGTTCTCTACTGTGATTCTTGGTTTTGAGAAGCTTTCAAGGGCTCGTATGGTAGAGAACTTCTTGTACCCTCTCAAAGTAGAGATTCAGAGGAGTTCCCCCTGGAGACACCAAGACTCTTTGTTCTCTGTCAAGTTCAACCTCTTTTGGAATTTCCCATGTGATTTACCTGAGGGTCCTGATACTGCTGTTGCTTTCCTTTGGTGTGTCATGTGCTCACAACCCTGGGCTATCTAGTGCTACCATCTTTGGTTCTTTCCTGAGAATTTGTCAGGGAGGGCTTAATGTCCGGTGTTCATTTTACATGTAGCCAATGCTATTATGTCCCTATTCAAATACTATGGGTCTAGAAGTTGTCATTGAAAGCCTTGTGTTTGCAACATAGCATAGCCGTAGTACCTTTATATTTAATTTGTACTGTGCAGAATACAAAAGAGTTGAATCTTGTTATGTGGTGATTTGTAGCTTAATTTTTAAATTTTTTATATTATTGTTAGTCTGCTTGTCTAAGTACATGCTAGATTGGTTTACATTGTTTGCTCATTTCCTATTTTCCAAACACTTTGATAGAATTAGTTGTCCAACATCATGTATGTCTACCTTTATCTACTCCAGATTGATATATCTAGGATGCACATTTGTTTTATGTTATGCATATTTTAGGTTTGGCTAATATTGCTAGTGTCCATACATTAAACTCTTTCTGATAAGCAGGATGCCAAGCCACGGACAGTTATTGCATTGTGGAAAGTCAATCTGGAAGAACCAAAGTTACACCTGTCTGATCCTTCAGTTGTGATTCACGATAACGCCGCAAGTAATACCTTTATTCCAAAACAATTATGTCTGAGTAATTTCAAACTATATTTCTTTAGGCTATAAATCTGGGGTTGATGTCACATTGACTTCGTATCCCCTTTTTAATTGAATTCTATGTCACATTGACTTCGTATCCCCTTTTTAATTGAATTCTATGTCCATGCATAGTCCCAAGAGGCAGGAGGCGGAGAAGAAGCATGTACATCGCCCAAGAGGCTAGTAGTAGGCATCAAAAACTTAGGCGTAAGTATGATATTTGTTAATTACTTCCAATCAATATAAATCATAGAAGTGAATGAGAAGCACTTTAGCAGAAGATTTTGGATATCTTCCACATCGAGTGCTGCAGTAATGTACTGATGCCATCCTCCGGCCTCCAATCTATATTAGGCTTGCCGTCTAGCTAGGAAGAAAATGAAGTTTAATTGTTGTGTGCGCGCGTGAGTTAGGTTTCTGTTGTTAATATCCCATTCAAACTCTGCATTCCTTCTTTGCAGAAACACGTGTCAAACTTGCAGCTGCAGATGAAAATGACAAGCAACAACTTCAGTTGTTTTGCAATGCATGCAAAGGAATTCCACAGGTAAATTTCATCTTATCCTTCTCTGCCGTATACATGCTGTTTTTAACTCCCAGCCTCTCTCTGTAAGCAAGCAATTAATCTTTGGCAAGATGCTTGGGTGGCTATCATATGTTACATTTGTGGAATTTTTCAGGCGTGTCCTGCGTTTTTGGGTAACAACCAACCCCCAGTTGCTCCAGCAACGGCGCCACCAGCTGCTCCAGCAACGGCACCACCAGCGGCAGAAGATTTAGAGTTGGCCATGGCTATTAGTGCTTCCATTCAGTCTGCTATGCAGGAGAGAGCATCCTTTCCTGATCCTCAGCCAACCTATGAAGGAAGTGCATCCAGTAGTTATAATGGTTGGGCCGGAGCCTCTCCGAGTAATGTACAGTTACAATGGTTGGGGTGTACCAACTGCCGCTGCTACTCCAAAAGTAAGTAGCAGCAAGTGGTCAGGGACTGAGAGTAGCAAAGTTGGAGAGTCATCTCAGCAGGTGGAAATCCAGGATACCTCTTCTGTCCAAACAGCTCCTACCTCAGATATAATCCTATCAGCCCCACCAGTTGCAGATGATAGTCTAGATGCAGCTCGTATTCACTATCCTTCAATTGATTTCAGTCCTATCGATATCCCATCCCCAAGCCTTGAAAGCAAACGTGCTAAAGTTGAAGAGAAGAAAGGTGAAAGCGGTTCATGTGTGATTTGTTTGGATGCTCCAGTTGAAGGAGCTTGCATCCCTTGTGGACATATGGCTGGATGCATGTCCTGTTTGAAGGAGATTAAAGGCAAGAAATGGGGATGCCCCGTCTGTCGAGCCAAGATAGACCAGGTTATAAGGCTGTATGCTGTATGATCAGTTATCCATAATATATATAAGTTCAGCATTGTTACTGCAAACACCTTGAAAGATATGTTTTTGTATCATAGTATGTACTGGATGAAGTTGTGTGTGACTTAAGGTTTCTGTACATGTTACCACATAGTATTTACGTTTCACTATGTTTCTTAAATATCAGCGAGACGGCAACCTCTGTTAATTTTGATTTTCCATGATTTTTTTGTAAGTTGTATATGTGAATAAACAAATTTCCCAATTAACTTTGGGCTGGCTGTTCAAGTTTTATTTTCATCTCTACTTTTTTTGGTCAAACGATAGATTTTGTTAGATTAGCTACCAACGGGATTCAAACTCACGCCGTCATGCAAGGGCTCAACTCGTTTCCACCACTATGGTAAAATGTCACTTGCTATTTTCGTCTCTACTTGGATATTGTGGAATTTTACTCTTAAAGTTACAGTTTGCAAACCATAGGTCACTTGCTATTTTCATCTCTACTTGGGCATCTGTGGGATTTTACTCTTAAAGTTACAGTTTGCAAATCATTTTAACGTACTTTGTAATTTGGGAGAAGTAACTCATTTTACTTCTCAAGCTTTCTATTAGGGGTTGCAACTTAGGCGGGTTGGAAGGTCAACCTACCACTAACCCATCCTTTACAATTGGGGTCATTGGATTGGATGTTCCGGTATTAGTATTCGGAAAGCAGAAGACAAAAACACAGAGAGAAGCAAAAGTTTGATGATATGAAATTCGGAAACGAAGAAATGGGGAACCAGTTTGAAACGAAGAAATGTGCTGAGCCAACTTGCCATGACTCCAAGCACTAAATAAAATTTAGGGAGTTTTAACGAAAAGCTCACAGTACTAGTTCACTTTAACGAAAAACCATATTTTACACTAAAAAATCAATTCTGGTACTATTCACTTTACCCTTTATTTTGTCCTTATCATTAAAACTCAAAGTTTTCAAGCCATTTTCATTAGTTTTCCTTAAATTTAAGGTACCATGTTGTCTCCATTGTTAATTTATATTGAATATTTGGATTGTCAGCCACAGTGTATTGTTGGAATGCTGATAGCAATGTTTCCTTGATTGCCACTCTTCGTTTAGGGTTCCAATATTTTAAGAATGGCCAAAAAGATTAGTGTGATACAGAAACTTTACGCGAATTTCAAGTGGATGAGATTAGTCGAGTGGTCTCCGTTGGATATAGGATTGAGTCCGTAAGGTAAGGAAGGCAGATTTCACCGATTATTCTTACTTGACGTTGTAGACAAGTATTTTCAAAACCTTGTACCCCTATGGAAAGTAACTTTCATAGCACGAATATATACCATCACTATGATGTTTCGTACTAATGATACAATATTTGAGAGAAAAATTTATAATTAATGTGGGACACCATGGTAATGGTATACCCTTGCTATAGAAGTCTTTATCCTAGTTATGAGGCACACATGCATAAAAGCATCTTAAGGCTCGTTTGGTGGGTCGGATGAGTTGGACTTGATATTTAGGATAAGATAGGATTGGGTTGGAGTGGTTAGGATGAGACTATTATCAAGCGTTTGGTGTAGACACTACTAGGAATAACTTCTTGGATGACGAAGGGGAAAGTGTTACGCAAAGACAAAAATCGTTGCCGGAAATATTAGGGTGGTGAGGAGAGCGTTGCGCAAATTCTATCGCACAAAGCTCTTGACGTCAACCATTGTGCGACAGAGGGATATTGTTCATTGCGCAAAATGAAGATTGCACGATGGAATTGGTGGTCGTTGCGTGTACCGAGCGACGAAACAAGGGTTCGACCCCAAACTCTTGCACAATGGACATTCGGGTTTGATCCACAAACTCTTGCGCGATGGACATACATGTTCGACCCACAAACTCTTGTGCGGCAAATATAAGGGTCGTCCCAGTAAGATCTTAAAATTAGTTTTTTAAATAATTTATTATTTATTTTTAAATTAGGTTTTTAAATAATATAGTATTTAATTTTTTTTTTCGTTTATTTTTAAATTAGTTTTTTAAATGAATTTAGTGAAATTAAAAATAGAAAATGTAAAGAAGGATATTGAATTAATAAATTATTGTAAATGTACATACAATGGAAAAAAGTATTTTTAAATTTGAAAACAATTTAAAACAAAACTAAAAAATGTAGTCATCGATGTCACAATCGCCAACTAGTGGTGTTGTTGCTGTGTCGGGGGGTTGGGAGGTCGTAAGCTGCTGTGGTGGGGGGCTGGGAGGTCGTTTCTGGAGGTGGTTCAATGTTGAGGAAGTGAATGCCAGAGATTTGAAGTGGGCGATGTATTTGGTTCATCAAATTGTTTTGTGCCGCAATCTGAAACTGCCGGGCAGCAATCTGCTCCTTCAAGCCCGCCACTTCAGATGTTAGCATTTGGACCTCTTCAGTTCTCTGCTTGGAGGATGAGGCAGACGAGTCATGAAGGAGGGCTTTCCTAGGCCCCCGGTGAACATTCCCATGCAGTCTCAGGGGGAAACACCTCATCGATTGGGGACTAATCAAGTGTGTCTGTCATGATCTGAAACTCAGCATCCTCAGGGGGAAACACCTCCTCGATCGGGGTCTCTAAGGGAAGCCGGGAAGCCATCTCCTCTAGAACGGTCTGGCCTTTCTCCACCATAGTGGACTAGAAAAATGAAAAAAATAAATTAATTTGAATATACATGTAATTAATATTAATACTAATTGAATGTTAAAAAATTGAAATAACTTACATGAAGCTGCTCCGTCAGCTCATCCCCTGGCCGAACGTACACCTCCTTGAACATGTCAATTTCAGGAAACTTTGACCCCCTGAAAAAATTTATAAAGTGTTAACATAGATTACCAAATGTGTAATAAAGAGTAAAAAGATTGAAAACTTAAAATAAATATACAGTTATCTTACGTTGCTCCTCCAACCTATAAGAGAAGCGTCGTGAGCCGGATCGGTGAAGAAGCTTCTTCTTCAACCGATTGATCGAGTTTGCCTTCACTTTTTTTTGTTGAATTAAAAAAAAACATATTAGTTTAGATATTTATAACAAATGAATGAAAAAATGAAAATTTTATTTAAAATTGTAAATTTTTTTATTAATATATTATTGAAATATATATTATATGTACCAAGTATTTCTCATCTTGAAAATGGCCGTAGAGCCACTCCCATTCATCTCGACGGTCCACCAACTCTATAGGGCACCCAACTTCTAGAGCGACCTCCGGACTGTCATATAGCTCATAATGCTTGTAGAGGTTGCTCTTCCATTGAGTGAACCTACTAGAGCAAAGGTCGTTGATATATTGCAGTTGATTGGCATCGAGGTTGGAGAGCTCATAGTGACGCTGCAAAACTCAACAAATAAATAGTAGTTAAAATTTATAATCTTTGTATACTTTAATAAAAATTTAGTATTTAAGGTTGAAATTACTTACCGATAATTCATGAAAAATGGCGTCCTTGAATTCTTGTGGGACACGTGAAGGGGCAATGGTTGCTGATAACCTACCCGACGTTAGTGGCCAACGCACTGTGCCGCTCTGTTGTTGCAGCCGCATGATGTCGGTGATCTTCTTGGTCGTGGTGCGAGTGGTCTGTATCGTCTTAAGAAGTTTGCAAGGGCCTTTTTGACCAACCAAATAAACAAAGTAAACATTAGACGAATTCTAGTTTGTATTGAAATTTGGCAGAACTCTCCCTAAAACTATAACATTTCCTAAAACCTGCAGACAATATAACAACAAAAAACAACACATCCACCCAACAGTTCAAACAGTTTATACCATTTGGGGACGTTAAAACAAAATTTACATCTTGTTTATATGACTTCAATTTACTCAGTGCTACTTAATAATAATTAATATAGGTCAAAAGCACAATTCAAATTAACTAGCTAGCATGCATGTTATTCTCTGCAAAAAAGGATCATCTCATTGTTGACAAAGAAAGACGTAAAACAGGTTGATTGCTATTTAGCTTAGCATATTCAAAAGAATATAAGAATCTTTTGTAGCACATATCAAATTGTTCAATCCAATAAAATCCACACCAATTTTGCTCTATAAAATTAGTTGGAAAAATGGTTATATGTGTGTGCGCACGCGTGCATGGGACTAACAGTTGAAAATAATACAAATACTCTAGTTGCAAGATAGCTTAAGACTGGAAAACATTTGTATCCATTAATGGAGACTATTATGAATTATTGTTTGTGGTCAATTTGCAAGCCAAAACTTGAGAAAATATTACAAACCACATGTGCCACTCGTATATTTGTAAGGAACATATCATTATGGCTATGAATAAAGATGGAACCATAAGCAAGCTTATCAATTAACAGAACAAGCTTACCTGTATAGGACCCTTCTCCATGGATAGAGGAGGCCTCACCAGATGGCTAAGCCTCCTCAGAACTCCGGGGTTGTCGATGAGTCCGTCGAGCGCTTAGGATAGGATGCGTCACCTAAGAAGTTGATGACGCAGGAGCAGTAGACACTATTGGCCCCAAAGGCGTGATTGAAGGGACACCCGTCATGCCCATATCAGGTGTGGAGGTGGCAGCAACATTACCTTCTTAAGAACGTGTCTGACTACCCTTACTAGTTGTCCCCCGGTTTGATATTAAGTTCAACATCTACAAAAACAATCATAAATCTGTTTAGTTGGTCATCTTATTATATGCATTTCATTTCACATATATAAGGTGAACAAAAAATGAGATAGGAATAAAATTGAGTATTGCAAGGAACATGTTTTTTCATAAAAACAAACAAACAAATTGACCGATCTACAATAATCTTGAAATGCATGCCATTACAAAGTTAAAACCAACATATTATCAAATCAATAATCTTCAAACACTTTTGGGCATACAACATTTTTATGCACCGAAGAAGATCACTTATATATAGATGCGATGAAGAACTCAGAGAAAGAAAAAAAATGGAAGAATCTTGCAATCCTTCTAAAAAATCTCAGAGTTGGTTACAAAGAATATTTGAACAACTATTTATACTAGATACACAGCTTAATGACTAAGCAATCCTTATAACTACCAACTCTCTAGATTATGACAAATGTAAGACATTGACCAATGACCCATGTCATTATCTAAAACCATCCATATCACTCAATACCTTGGTGCGAATTTGAATAAAAAAAAATGGAAAGAGTATGAGGACATGAACTTATATATCATTTATTTGATTAAGAGGCAAAGAATGAAATTATGAAATTAAGTACTGAACCCCCAACCATGAGCAAATTACATTTGTGAGGAGGAAGATGCTATTTATGTTACATCCCACATTGCCTAGGGAACAGATCCTGTAAGCCTTATATGTATATTCTCATCTGTACCTAGCACGAGACCTTTTGGGAGCTCACTGGCTTTGGGTTCCGTAGGAACTCCGAAGTTAAGCGAGTTCGTACGAAAGCAATCCCATGATGGGTGACCCACTGAAAGTTCTCGTGTGAGTTCCCAGAAACAAAACTGTAAGGGCGTGGTTGGGGCTCAAAGCTGACAATATTGTGCTACGGTGGAGTTGAGCCCGGGATGTGGTGAGGGCCCGGGTCAGGATGTAACAATTTAGTATTAGAGCTAATCCTTGGCCGGATGTGTGCCGATAGGGACGTCGGGCCCCTAAGGGGGGTGGATTGTTACATCCCACATCATCTAGGAGAGTGGATCCTGTAAGCCTTATATGTATATTCTCATTTTTACCTAGCACAAGGCATTTCAGAAGCTCACTGGCTTCGAGTTCCGTATGAACTCCGAAGTTAAGCGTGTTCGCGCGAGAGCAATCCTATGATGGGTGACCCACTGGGAAGTTCTCGTGTGAATTCCTTAAAACAAAACTGTGAGGGCGTGGTCGGGGCCCAAAGCGGACAATATCGTGTTACGGTGGAGTCGAGCCTGGGATGTGGTGGGGGCCTGCGCCGGGATGTGACAATTTAGCCCATCAGATAATAACCATTTGAGATTCTAAATTTAAATCGCTGCAATTGACAATCGTACGATTAAAAAGTTGGATTATATACCTCATGTATATATAGCCAATATGAAATTTAAAGGCATCAGAGAATCTGAATAACCAACAAAATGCCATTATCATAGTCATGATTGATCCCTAAGAACATCTGATATGGATTTTAGGTAGCTGATCACAAGGCATATCTTATTAACTTCTTTACGTATATACATGTTATGCTAACAAGATCCCAAGTTAGGTAAATATGTATTGGAGCACTAAATATATTAATGGTTATCTACATGTACAACTATGGATTTGAAAGAAAACTATGAGAAGAAACTAGTTTTTGAAAGATAACTATGAGAAGAAACTAACAAAAAGTCTATGTGATGAGGTTTCTTTTCAGTGCAGGAGTGTGCTAGGAACTTGAAGACTTATTTGAATGCTTCTTCCCATGTTGTGTATCTGAGAGCACTACTTGGACATATACAGTGTCTTCTTTATTCTTAAAGTTTCCTATTTATACTCCAACAAACCATCAAAAAGAAACGTCGAAAAAGCACAATTTCACAATTTCACAAGGTCATCAATATCTTGTTCTATTAACTCAAGGAGGCAACATCATATGTTAAATAAATCTCAGGATTAGAACTTGACATGAACATATATAAAAGTTGTTAAAAACAATGTGATGAATAAATTATGAACAATTAGCTCTAGAAGGATAACATATAGCAATGGGAAAAGTAAGCATACATGCAATATCCTTCAGTACCAGAAAAGTTGCTCAGTTGCTTGGTAAACTGTTTAACTCCTTTATTAGAGAAGTGGTCTCCAATGCCTGTCATGATGAATGAAGCATTAGAATGCAGCAAGAGCGTAAGAATGCAATAGTAAATAATGGTAAGAGAAGAAATGAATTCTTAGTTTCAATGATCTTCAAAGTTAATAAAATCCAGGAAAGAACCACTCAAATATATGACAGGAGACTAAACGAAGAACTAAAATGGATGATGTTCATAATCCAACCAAAAACAATTGACAACTAATATTAGATTGGCCAAATTCAAAGGAAACTAGGCGACGCTATAAATGTCAAACTTCTTTTCAAACATACAACACATGAAAAGTTGAAAATCATCTACGAAAGTGCTGCAGCGCATTCATTATGAAACTTTCATTCCCGGAATCTCGACTTGAATGCATTGTCGGTAGCCTTCAATAGATTTGGTTGTCAATGTCTCAATTGGGATGTCATGCAAAAATTAATAAATTAAAATCTCACTATTATATTATATTTAACAAACATAATTATTATTTAACTAATGAAATTAACACATACAGCTAACTCATCAATCATGTGCATCTTCAGCTCATCAGGGATGACTCTCCAATGCTCCCAATCCGCAGCACATTTGATACGCACTAATCCTCCTACATCAAACCAAAAGCTGGCGCACTTATCTGACTTCAAAACCCCTATTATTTCGTTAGTAGTGATTTGGTAACGACTCCTATCATAAGTGTGTCGGGCCCGTACCGCAACTCTTTTCTTCTTGTCTATCAACAAAATATATTTTCATAATACTGAAGCTCAATAAAAAATTTATACAAAATGCAAAATTTTCAGCGCAAACCTTTTCCAGAACCTTCGCCATTCGGTGTCTTTGACAAACGCGCACCACTGTCAGCCATCATACCAACACTCAAAGAACAAACTGATTATAATCGTCAGAATTGTAAAGCATTTCCAAAACAAAGTGTGAAGAATAAGGAGAGCAGAAGCGCATATTTATAGGAAGGTTAGAGACTTTGTGCGACGAAGAGTTTGTCGCGCAAACATCTACCGTAAATACAGTATTTATTTGTCTGATTCAGATGCACCAAATACGCTGACCTCACCACAACAAATTGCTCCTTTAGTGAGAAATGTTTCAGTGAGAAACAAATTGTCCTCGTTGTAGAGTACATTTCAGTGAGGAAAATTTTGAGTTCTCGCAAGAATTGAGTTGTACATATTTTTGTTTCTGCGAGGAAATATTTTTGTTGTACATATTGCTAGTGAGAAAAATTTATTATCTTGTTGTAAGTTAAGCAGAAATTATTTTTCCTTTCCTACTATAGCACTCCCGCTATAATTTTCCAGAATTTTTCAAGTAAGGCGCCCTTTTATTCAGGAGTGCTATAATTTTCCAGAATTTTCAAGTAAGGTGCCCTTTTATTCACCTTTTCCCGCTGACAACCCAAAACCATTTCCAAGTGTTTGAAAAAAAAAAAAAAAAAAAAAAAAAGGAGAAAACATGAAATCCCGGATAACATCATTTAGTCTCTCTGATTCAGACACTCTCTGTAGAACGAGAAAGAATTGTGGGCGTTGCACTCTTGAGTGTTTTGAATCACTCTCCAAACCCAATCTTGCTGGTCGACGACGATAGTGGTAACTGGTAAGCTCTGGCCCTCTTCTCTTCTCCAATCCCCCTTTTCTTCGTTCTTGTTTCTGAACCCTAACTTTGATCCCCTTTTCTCCTTTCTTTTGTAGCTTTGCACTCCAATTCATGTTTTCTTATTGGGTTCACTTTGTTTCTCTCTTTCTATTTCCCTTTATGTGGTAATTTTGTTCATAAATAGACCCGATTAAAACTGAATTTAATGTAATTTTTGAGATTTTATGCACGAATGGTTGTAGGTGAAATTTTCTTGGGATTTTAACCTACAACACGAATTGCCCAATTGTTTAAAATAACAAATTGTTGTCTCTTTCCATTTCACCTACATTACGAATTGCCCATTTATTTAATTAAGCTTTTTCTATGGGATTTCATCTTTATGTTGTAACTTTTGTCCTTGCTAATGTTTTAATTGATATGATTCTAACTAATATTTTCATTTGTTATTTAGGGTATAATCGTGCATTCTTGGAAAAAGGTTTTGGTAAGTTCTCTACAACTTTGTTTTAATGAATGGAAAATTTCATTTGTCTATCTATTTAATTCATGTTTGGGTGATCAGGGTTTGCATTTGTTTACTAGGTATGTCATTTATCCCACTGAAATTCCTTTTCACTCCAAACACTCTAAATCTTATGCTCAATAGTTTTAATTTTCCTAATGAAAACTCCATATTTGATATGTAGTACAATTGGAGGGTTTAAAGTCTTTTTATGGTGTTCACAACTAGAGGTCACTCTCTCTGCTCATTCTTTTTATGGTTATTTAACCTTATGTTTGTTTTTTATTACAGTGATTAGTCATTCAAATACATGACCACATGTCACTCTCTGCTCATTGTCTCTCTTTCTCTCTGTCTCCCAACCATTTCTACCATGACCTCTTGTAAGTTTCAATTCAAAACAGCTGATTTTGATCAACTAAGGGTTGTGTTGTTAACTTATATTTTTTCAATTAGCAGTAAGAGAACTGTAATTCTAGTTGGAAATCATTGAGTATACCATCTGCTTTATCTCCTCTTAGGTAAGTTGTTTGACTTCTAATTTTATTGTTTTAACCTCTCATGTTGTCCATGTTGGGAATTATATGTGGATTTTGATTTATAAGATATAGATAACAGTTTTTAGCAGTGGATCGAAGTTGGATGTTCCTTAGATATAGATTTTGTGATGCATCCACTGCTAGTTTAAACTCGTTTATATTGGTTGTAAACAAACATTTGAATGAGAATCTTCATACAAGACACGTTATCCATGTAGAGACTGCCTAAATGGGAATCTTCATTCTTTGCATGTTATTCGTTCCCATTTAAGAAAGTGAATCAAGTGACCTAATAGAGAATGATAGTGATAGTGAGAATCATGATGATCACAAGACGTTTGAGATGGTACATAGTTTTCAAAGGGCAGTAGATATGGAAACTAATGTGATGTACTTGCATGTTTTGATTTTTGCATTTTCATATAGTTATGGCAAAATGGAGAAGCTACTAATGTGATGCATAGTTTAACTTTGTTCATTTTTCTTCTCGAAGAATATCACTATGGCAAGAAAGAGGAAGCAAGTCCATTGTGACTTTTCAAGTGAGGCATCAATAGACAATGTACAAATTAAGGTTGATGCTGTTATAACTTCAAACAGTAGGGTTGATGCTGTTATAACATCAAGCAGTACGTAGGGGAGTGCTAATGGTATGCCTTTTTATAAATCTCAAAAGGTGTTATGTTTTATAGCATGAAAATGTTGCCCTTTTCTTTTAGGCTGTTATTGGTGTTTTCAATTGGTTCTTCTTACATTGGTCCTCGTCCTTCTTGTTCCTCTTGTTTTGTACTTTCTTTGTACATGTAAAAGGTTCTTGTATCTTATGTAAAATAAAATTTGCATTGATGATATTTTAGTTGAACAAAAGAAAAAAAAAAAACAATCAAAGACCTGTGTAAAGAATTCTGATAAACTGCAAGAGCAGCTTGGTGGTAAGAAAATACCAATTACTTTGACAAAACTAAAAGGGAAGCCCACAGGCCTGAATTCCTCATTTCTTCTGAATGATATTGGTTTTGTGGTTCAGACCTATGCACCACTAAATGTGAAGCAATGGAGGAATGTAGAAAAGAAGGAAGTCGATAAGATGATTGAAAGAACAACGGTGAGTAATATTGTTTTTTTCCACATTACTTTTACACATTGAGTATATAAAAATCTTCTTAAATTAGATTTACCAAGGACTTGATTCCATATAAAGTAAGTACGATATTGATATGTCACTCCCTCATGTTGGTACATATATTAAGAATGTATTACAAAGGCGGTTTGTTGATTTTCGACCCAAGCTGAAGACGCATTTTGATTCCTATCCAACTCTGGAGGAGGCACAACAAAACAAACATGAGGACGTAAACAGTTAGGAGGAATGGAAGTTTCTTTGTGATCGTTATGCGAGTGTTCAATTCAAGGTACACATGTATATTAATGAACTGAATTGTTGTTGTCATGTGTGTTGTTTATTTTCTTCATGTCACAACGTTTAATTTTGCTATGCAGGAAGATAAGAATGCTATCAATAGGTCTCATTTGACTTACAATCATAATGCGGGGTTAAAATCCTTTAGGGCCCATGAATATGAGATTGTAAGATGTGTTTTTCATAATTTTAGTCTAGATTCTAGGTGGATAAAGGAGATTAACTTTAGTTTGTGATCCATGTATTAGGAAGCCAAAATGGAGAGTAACCAAGTGCAATTGATTGCTTTGAGGCTGTGCGGACAAACAAAAAAAATGGTTGGGATGAAGGAGCTAAACTGAAGTGGGTAAGTTGGTTGTGTATTTTCTGAATCCTTGACAAGATATGTTACGTGAAGAAATATTCAAGCGCAATTATTTTTACTTATATGTGATCATATTTTTTACTTTTAATGAATCTTTTATGCCCAAAAACAGATTTTTTTGTCTATGATATATATCAAGAGCACACACATATCATCCAAATTTACTTAGTATATTTTGTTGAATGAAACACAGTATTTGTAGTCCAAATTCATTGGCTCCCTGTAATTCTAGGAGATACATGTAGATTGTGTATTCACTTAGTTAACGTGCTGTATTTTCATTTGTAGGAAGAGATGATAGGTACGAAAAATGACACAACTCTTCCAGATGGTAATGTGACATTGACAAATGATGAAATTGTTTTAGAGGTCCTTGGTCATAAGTTTGGGTACTTCAAGGGTCCTTCAAAGTTTCTTTCTTCTGAAGACTCTGTGTTGCGCAAACATTTAGAAGAAAGAGTTGAGACTCAACAACAAGAGCTTGTAACAACAAAACAAGAGCTTGTTGAAACAAAAGAAGAGCTTGATGAAGCAAAACAATAAATCCAAGAATTGAAGGATAATCAAAAGAAATTTGAGGAACCCTTACACAAAATAATGGAAGGCCAACAACCACCTCCATAGGTAGTCCTTTGGTTGTGCTGGAATATGTGAACTTTCATAGTTGCTACCCATTAATCTTCACCAATTTTGTAGACTATGAATTATCATTGTAAGCTATTTCGTGTTTTGGACTACTATAATTAAGTTCTAGTACTTTTCATCATTCATTCTTGGCACTAAATTCCAGTTACAGGGAGAAACCAAATTCTCACAATAGGATACTTATGAGAATGATTATTTTCAACTTACAGCGTGGAATTTTACCTTCATCAAAATTCTCACTAAAGGCTTTGCTATAGCGAGAAAACAAATGTCTTGTTACTTTTCAACAATGAAATTCAGTCTCACAATATATGATCTATAGTGAGAGATAATATGTTCATTGCTGTAAAACTTACTTACAAATTCCTTGCCAAAAATTCTAGAGTGAGAAATTTGATTATTTTTGCGAGGAATTTTGTCCTCGTGCAAGTTATTGAATGTCAATAATTAGGTTGTCAAAAGGTTTTGGCAACCACATTCCTAACCTTTTAGTGAGAAATTATCCCCGCTTTAACTCCATCGCGAGAATAAGTTCCACTATCGCTGTATCATTTTGATGAGGAAAAACTTGCTCGCTATGCACATTCCCCAATGGACCTACTATGAGGAATGAGTGAGGAAATAATTTCCTCGCTAAAAACCTATAGCAACTAAATGACAACTGTTAGCAAGGAAAAAATTTCTCGCTAAACAACTATTTTGTTGTAGTGCCTAAAACTGAACGCCTTTCGCGTGACGAAGAGTTTGTCGGACAAGGTTTTGCACAGGGACGTCCTTTGTCGCACCAACGTTGTAGCGACGAAACTAATCCATTGTAATTATGAAGTTTACGTAAACATAGATATCTATGTTTACGTAAACTTCATAATTACAAATAAATTTTCAGTTATAATATGTATTTTAAAAATATTTACTACCTTAAATAAATTGATATTATATTCCATTCAATTAATACCTTAAATAAATTGATATGATATTCCAATCAATTAATACCTTAAATAAATTGATATTATATTTCATTCAATTAATACCGTAAATAAATTAATATTATATTCCGTTCAATTATTTAAATAACCAAACACCTAATTAAGTCCAAATACATAACTTAGAAAAAAAAAACCTTAAATTTAAATATTGTCATGCAAAACATAAATTTAAAACTACTATTTCAATGGTCTTGGTCCATTCCGCAAGACTTCATAACACTATCGATTGTAAACTCCCTCCAACGCATCCTCCATCAACTTAATCAAATGTTCGTTCGTATCATCATCAAGAGTATACTTACATTGTTACACATATATGCAAATAATTAATTTTAACATATAACAAAAAATTTCACAAAATTAATTATTGATCCATGAGCAGCATACTTACTAATAATTCATCCATCGCCTTTTTCACATTCTTGGGCACATTTTTCCAAGAACGGTACTCAGCAGTAGGACAATTATTCCCCATGGCTACAACAATCGCATGCGAGAACTGAAAAAGCTGTTGTGGATCATTCGGGTTAATGGCGGGCAAGCTCTGATCCTTGTTTTTATCCTCCATCCTAGCACGAACAGAATTGTGAAGAATAAGAAGAGCATAAGTGAATATTTATAGGAAAGTTAGGGCCTTTGTGCGACGAAGTCTTTGTTGTGCAAAGACCCGTACTAAATCCAGTCCAGATTCCTCTGTTTCACACGCACTGAATTGTCTAATTCAAAACTGACAACTTCATCGCGCAAGTGTTCATCTGATTCCCATGCGTTGAACACTGCCCCAAAAACTGAAGGATCTTTGAGTGACGAAGTCTTTGTCGTGCAAAGTTTTCCTGGGAAAATATTCGTCGCACCAAAAAAAAAATCCCCCATGGTTTTCTTACTAAGTTTGAGCGACGAACACCTTTTTTTCATTGTGCAAACTCTCTTGCGCGACCAAGGTCTTTGTCGTGCAAATTTCACCTAGCCTTGTGAACGGAAGCTCTCTTGTGGTTGCACAAAATACCCTTGCGCAATGGATTTTTCTTTGTCGCACCAATAGTTTTTCCTACTAGTGAGACAAGCAACTTGGGCTGGTTATGGATTAACTTACTTGTAAAATAGGAAAATCCAAATTACACCATTCAAGAACACTGTCCGTAGTTCTTTCAAGAACGAAAAAAACCTCAGAATCCGATTAAAGCCAAAACGATCTCCACTAGGGTTGGGATCGATTTCAACCGGTTTGGTGTTTTGCTGAAATTGAAAACCGAAACAAAAGTATTGTTCGGTTAGTTTGATTTTTTCTCGAGTTTTGTTCGCTTTGGTTTAGTTTCAGTTGGGTTTTTTTTTGTTTTTTTTTTTTTTCAGTTTGGTTTGGAGTTCGGTTATGTTTTTATTTTTCATATGATGCCTAACGTCACACAACATTGCAGCTTAGTAAACAAGAGGAACTTAAAAGGCTTTACTACACAATGAACTTAAGATGGCTTATAATAAGGATAGTGCTATTCACACTTACCTACACACACTCTTGTTAACTTTTTACCATTGATCTTCTTTAATTCATTGAATCGATGACAAAAAATTGAGAGGAATATGTGAGAAGTAAAGATACGGGTGTGGATAGCACTAGCCTACAATAATTCACATTGTTTCACCATGCTTAAAATCATGTAAGAAGGAATGCCTCATTACATGTAAATATGAATATGGCTCTTTACATGTAAAGAGCCAAGTATCAACCTTTAATCCAGGGTACAGAATGTGCCAGCTGAATAATTAGATATTAAACTTCTTATTAAGTGAGTCAAACCTTAAACGGTTAAAACCTCCAACTTGTAGAAAGAATATCCCTAAACTATAGTGATACTGACGTATAAACATATTTGCTAACCGCATTGCTAGTAGAGAATATTCCTAAACTATAGTGATACTGACGTATAAACATATTTGCTAACCTCCAACTTGTAGGAAGAATACCCCTAAACTATAGTTTAGGGATATTCTTCCTAAAGTGAATTTTGTCCCTAAGCAGTAAGGACATTAATTTAATATCATGTTCAATGTTTCTTATAATGAGATAGGATCCTCTTTGAATCCTCTTTGTGAGGATTCTAGAGATAAAAAATGCCAATAATTGACATTGCTTCCTCAAACCAAACCTAATCTAATTCTAAGTTTTCATTCCCAAATCCCACAACAAACCTGACTGCACAGACAATAGTTTAGTTAAGTGCATGAAGGTCAGATAAAAATTTGAAAGAACAGTTCACGGTGTAGCATTGTCCATCATAGTTAAACCAAATAGAAGCATCAAACCCCCAACCCAGACCTAGTTTACATTACAAACAAGAAAAACAAAAACACACAATAACCTAATCACATGTCAAAACAAACTATTTAAGTAGATGGAAGATCCGCCCAAATATCAAGAGAGCAGAGTCAGCAACTCAGCAGGCCACCCAAATCTTACCTCCATTTTTAATCCTCCACAACACAACTAATGAAATTGAGCACTCGCTTAATTCGAATTTGAAAGATACCTGCCCAGGAAAAAGTTATGAAATTCCTTTCTTTCTGTGGAAGCCAAGTGCATGCCCAATCCCAAAGGAAATCACAATCCACATGAAATTAAGCCAACTGCATACCTTTTCCATACATACATACATACATATATATACATACATACATACATACATATATATATATATATATATATATATATATCTAACTTGAAAAATAGACCGTTTAGATCATTCAAGTTCAATGTGGTGTAGACCCCACAACTAATTTTCATTTAATATATATATATATACACACACACACAAGCTAGGCCTTGAGTGTAGTGGTTCAATTGGAATTTTATTTTTCATTTTTATTTTCCTTCCAAGAACCATTCGTTGAACTAGCAAGGAAAACAATACAGAGCAAGACAACCTAAAGAATGTTAAGGTTCTATCGTGAAACCAATTATTAATATAGAGAGTAGCCTAACTACTTATTAGCATAAGTTTTTTTTTTTTTCGATGTGAGATTCATACTCTTTCCATGTCCCTTCATGTGTGGCTAATTTTCAAGCTATAATATGTGAACTACACAAATTAGGTGATATGAAACACGTGTCATTGTTAGATTTCACACATGAGACAACCTGTGTTAATATAATAACGAAAGTTGAGGTTTCACCATTAAACAAAAAGAAAACTAATGAAAATGGCTTGAAAACTTTGTGTTTTAATGATAAGGACAAAATAAAAGGTAAAGTGAATAGTACCAGAATTGACTTTTTAGTGTAAAAATATGGTTTTTCGTTAAAGTGAACAGTACCATGGGCTTTCGTTAAAACTCCCTTAAACAAATTGTTAATATATAGAGCAGCTCTACTTATAAGCACATGCTAGGTCCATTCTTTTCTTAATGTGAGATTTATACTCTAAACAAAAAACGGCACAACCCAACACAAAATTGTCATTACTAGAAAAAAGTCTAAAATAGCATTACCTTTTATTCAAGTAATAATTACGCTGAATTTATCTTAAACTATGTGAAGAAAAATTTGAATTCAAAGACAATAAAAAAGCACACTGCTCTAATCTCTAACTAACTTAACTATGTCCAGGCTTACAATTCTTAAAAACACTCTTAGCATACAAGAATTTTCAGTGGTGTCTTGTGTGAGCCTGATATCGGGTCCATACAAGTATTTTTCATTACAATGCAAGTTGGTATTTTGTTACGTGCATAAGTTTAAATTTGCATAAAAAAAAAAAAAAACTTAATATGAGGACTCACATTTAGAAAGTAATTGGAATTTGTCACTCAGTTTTGAGTGCCTTTGAAATAGAACCCAGATCCTTTCCGGATCATTTGAAACCGAACCTAAGGATCAAATGATCCGGACTGTTGTAATTTAATCCATAAGCTACAATTATTATAACTTTTAGAGGGACTTCCTGTTTGTAGCTGTTGGATTAAATTTCAACGGTCCGGATCATTTGATCCTTAGGCTTAGTTTCAAATGATCCAGAGAGGATCTGGGTTCTTTGAAATAAAGTACTTATGGTTAACTACTATAAAATTACACCTACCACCAAATTTACTTTGTTTGCAATTTAAACATGGTTTAGTTTAATGGAATGGTAAACCTTTTTTCTTCA